TTTTAGATAACTGCTCACAAGTGCTTCCAATATAACATTTGTTATAGTCAATGTCTGTTATTTTATAAATCTTACCATTTTCATACTCATTCATTCCTATTTATTCCTATTTTATTAAGTCATTTTGTCTTTAAGCCTTTATGCCATAATAACCATAAGGAACACTGTTATAATTATCTATCCAATGTCTCTTATTGTCGTAGTTTGATAGACTTTGTTTTGTTTGTTGTATGCTGTATATTTGATGTGCTTTACTTCTTATAGAATTGAATGTAATTGTATCACAGTTGTTGTGTTCTAATGTATCATTGTAATGATTGTAGCTTATTTCTTTCTTAACTTTTTGTTTTGGAATACCTTTAGTCTTCTTTTCTTCTTTCACTTCATTATGTATTTTGAGACAATATGACTTTGGTTTCAATGCTTTAAAGTTAGTTATTATTTTGCCATCGCATTCATCTTGAAAGCAACCCAGTTTCTTCTTATTTGTTTTATCATAACATTTGTGTTCAACATCATAACCACTGAAATCCATAAGATGGGCAATGTCATTGAAATCATCATAAATATCTTCGGTTTTAGTGTGAATGACAAAACTATCTGTATCGGTGTAAATCAACCTTACATTATCTTGATATTTCTTTTTCAAAATATCATAGTAAAAAGAATACATATGTTGTTTTGATAAATCCAATATACACATTCAGTCAATTTGGTTTCTTACATTTTGCACTGTTTTTCCATAAGCCGCATTATTCATTAACTTATACATATCTTTCTCAAAATCACTTTTTGCTTCCTTTCTCTTCTGTACTAAAGTCAATCCACGGTTTCAGCCATTGCTTATGTCTAAACTCTATCACCCTGTTAATCGTTTTTGTTTTCAAACCCTGTTTTAAATAAAACTTTAAAATATCTATGTGTAAAACATAATTTTGCTTATCCATAACATTTAATACTAACTTGTTTGTTTTCTCATCCTTTGGTTCATTGTTCTTATTATATGCTTTGTAAATATCCTTTTGAACATCACTTAACATATCTGCTGTTATATTCATTATCTTTGGTGCTAATGGATAATCAATATGTTTATCGTGGCATTCTTTCGGGTATTCTAAATCAACATCTAAAATATAACCTTTACTACTGACATCACTATTGTAATATTTGATGTCTTCTTCTGTAAAATTATCTTTCCCGAATTTAATATTCTTATATGGTAGTTTTTTACACATTGCTAATCCATAAAGGTTATTTGCATCAAGGTATGAAATATATGAAGATGGTTTAGACTTATCATAATCTTCACCCATATACTTATTGTTAGCAATTGCTTTTTTGTAGGCACATTGAACCATACCGCCTTTCAACCCCTTCTCAACCATATTATAAAGTTCTTCATCGTGTAAAAGTTCAAGCTCAATTCCTGTTTTTAATAACATCGCGTCCCAAGCAAAGTTAGGTAATGTATAATAATGGGCTGGGTCTAATTCATAATATGTTAGACATTGTTTTCTGAAATTTTCATTTACATCGGTTAATAATAATACATCGGTTTCTAAATATAAATCGTGATATTCACCAAGGTTTGTAATGTTAAAGTGCTTCCATATTGGTTTTGCTCTTTCATAGTCAGCATTACTTATGTTTTCTTCACTCAATCTACTATAAAAATGCTTTTTTGATGGTAGTTCAATGTCATTAAATTTATTGAAGTCATTACAATAATCATAAGGATAAACTCCCTTTTCTGTCAGTAAAAACAAATCCTTTTCATCTTTTATGTATTTGCCTTTGAAACTGTATTTGAAATTTTCCTGCCAGTTGTCCCTTAATGTATTATCTTCATATTTTGTTAATTTAACAAGTTTATCTAATGTCGATGACAAGAAACTGTTTAATGAAAATGTAATACACTTCTCGCTGTTCTGTGCTATTACTGATATGCTTTCTTTCTTTGTACTTAACTTTTCAAGATTTGAAATTATCAAGTGAGCATCATAGTTTTTAAGATTATGAAAGAATACCGGTATATGATATGTTTTAAAGCAATAGTCCATATTACATTTCATATGTGCCGCTGGTCTGTATAATCCTGTAAAGTGGCAATGGTCTGCGACCTTCTTTTTCGCTTCTACTTTGTTGTTGAAAGCGCCATTGCATAAGAAACACTTTTTAGCTTCTAAATGTTTGATTTCATCCAAGTCTCACATAATCATATCTTTTGGTTTTTTCATTTGTTCCGTTACATCGTCTCTAATATTATTCAAAGTATCGCAGAATTTATCAATACAATCTTCACCTCTATATAAGAATGGTTTCATTTCTCCACTGTAAGCATTAACAAGGTTAAGCATATAACCGCTGGGTTTATGACACTGATACGTTCCTTTAATACCATCTGATGTTTCTGATGTTAAGCATTCAAAATCAGCGTAAATAACAAATGGTGCTTTCAGTTTCTTAAAATGCTTTCAATCTTCATTGATGTTCCTTCTTCTGGCATTTCTGTTTGTTGAATTTCATTTGCCATACAACCTTGTATTAAGTGATAATTTAAGAGTTTTTCTGACTTATAACCGTGCTGACAGTATTTACAAAAGAACATCTTATTAGTTGTTTTATTGGTCTGACTTCCCATCAATCTGCTAAAATCTTTGATTAAAACATAGTGTTCGCAAAGCTTGTGAGCCTCTGGTGAAGCATCGTTGTTGTTTTGTTCAATTCGTAGTAGATTGCTATGACAAGACGGTCTTTCAATCTTCGTTATTCTGTCTGCTCTGATGGTTTGGTTCTCATCTTCAACATAAACATTAACTGAAATTGAGTTTTGGTTAATTGATTCAAATGTGTCAATGTCATCATTGGATGCTGGAAAATTTACACCATCCCATTTAATTAGACTTTCAGTAGTTATTAACTTCTTGTAGTGTCTCATATGTTGTGGATGGTCTTTCTTGAAGACTTCATAAAATTTACATAAAGCACAGTATTTGAAACATAGCTCATCTTCATTCTGTATGTTGATACAAGCCTTTTTCTTTGAAATCCATTCTGGTAGTTCCATATATTTACCTGCTCTGTTCGGGTTGTATTTGTTGTAGTGGATGGTGATTTTGTCAATCTTATTAATCTTCAATCCTGACTGTTTCAAAGGTGAGTTTTCAATTTGTAGTTCAATATCTTTCGGTATATTTTCCAATGCCTTTTTCAATTCGCCTACATTCAAAATTTGTATCTTCTGCTTCTCATATTTATCTTTCCTTGAGTATTTTCCTCAATTGGTTCATCTTCTCCATCATCCTCTTCTTGCTGTCTAAGTTTATCAAAAATAACCTCAACATCAATCAGTAGTTTCATTGACTTTGCTTGTTGTAAAAAATATGTTAGTTTCTTTTCTTGCCATACACGATATGTTAGTCCTTTATATCCCTTGAATGGTATGTTGGTTATTGAATATGTGTTGGCATATCCTTTCAATGCTGAAAATGTTTCTGATGTTTTGGCACCTATCTTTAACCTGTATTTTTTGATTGTATTAATTCCTCTCATTCTGTTTGATGCTTTTTTTAGAATATTAAATCGTTTGAAACCTTGTGTGTTGCTGACTTGATTGAGTTTGTTTTGAAGTGATGTTGATAATGGTTTGTCTTTGTTATAATAATATTCTTTGTTGTTAATGATTAGTTTTTTCATTGGTTTGTTATTCTTCCCTGTTTTTATTTGACCTTCATTATTGGATATTAAATATTCAATTACTGAACCCCCTGCCATTTCTCTATACTATATAAGGTATTTTCTCTTTAGGTCCTTTTGGGGGGCGGGTTGCTGGTGGGTCTGGGTTGGGATTCAACGCTGTTTCATTGTTGTTGTTTTTCGAATAGGTTGTTGTGGGGATAAGGTGCAGCCTTGTAAAAAAAAGCCGCCGACGCCTTGAAGTTGCTGGTCTCGAACTCATACACAGCAATGACTTCTCAACCTCAGAAGCAGAAAAGGCAAAAACCCTGACTGATGAACAAATATAGCACCGTTCAAATGCTGCTTTCAAACTAATGCTTTCAATGTCAATGTCAGGCAGACGCCTATTTTCTTTTGACTGGTAGGTATATTACATTAGCGAACCTATCCTACTTTCGCTATTGAATTCGGCAATGGTCTGAACCCCATTCAAACCTTAGCAACGCCAACAAGCATTTCAAGGGCATCGCACTGTTTGAGATGTTGTCAATGACATCTCATCCCCGCTTCAAGTCTCAATCTCAAAATCTCGAGTTTGGAACCTCAAAAGTCTGAGATTGGAACCTCGGAAGTTTGAGTTTGGAACCTCGGAAGTTTGAGAGTGAGACAAGTTGAACAATTACAGTGTAAAAAACTACAGCTGGTGGTCGTATAGAAATAGCAGTTAATATATGAGACATATTCTTAGTGATTTAATTGAAATTTACACTGACCAATTAATAGAAGGTTATGAACATTATTGTTGTGATTATAGTATGAGTTGTTATAGTGGTTGTATCGCTGTTGAGATTGAATACGGGACACATTAATTGCTGTTTATTAATATTTTCTTATAATATGATTAAACACTTGTGTCCCCCAGAAAGCCGTAAAATGGTCTGAAACTTGAACCTTAAAAATGTCAAAATGTTAGACTGTTATTAAATGAAAAAATGTATAAAACATGTTCAGAAATTTTAGAAAAATCCCCAGAACCAATACTTAGGTTTTGAACAAAATGGTTTGCTTGTTGAAAACTGACCTTGAACCCTGAAACCCTGAACTGAAAATACCCAACCTTATAACCATTTTTTTTGTTGGGGGGGGGGGGTACCATTTATCATATATACATATATGTTCACATATGCGCATACGTGCGCATATATCTACATATGCATATACATGGGTTTGTATATGCATACATCTCTGGTCTATGACTCTTGCATTTGCATCGGTCTAAATCTCCCTCCCTTCCCAGTCGCTTGGGCGGAGGGATCTCGCAGGCCCACGCCAACGCTGGCGACCCGGAGGGCGCGCGGGAGGTCTTCCAGCGGATGACAGACCGCGGCCGGGGCCTCGGGTCTTTACGTTTCGGTGGTATGGACTCAACGCAAGGGGTATATACTTGGTATACATAGATCCATATACATATGTATGCCTGCATGTGTGTATATGTTTATGTATACGTAAATGTACACATACATACGCAAAAACACACGCACACATACATATACATATTTGTATGTATACATGTATATATGTATGTATATATATATATATATATATTCTTATGCTGGGAGCATGTGCATTCTTTGGCATTTTCATGATTAGAGGTTTGGGCGAAATTGGGAACTCAGCGCCCCTCCCCCCGGCCCCCTCCCTCCACGCCAGACTGCTTGGTTTCAGGCTGTCGCATGTTTCCGCAACATGGCAGATTGCTGGGCCCTTAAGGCTTTGGGATTCTTTGAGTCACATTGGTGAAGCAGAGTCTTCCACATCGTCTTCCATGGGATTCAATCGCTTGCGTCTCCGCGAGGTGTCCGGGTGAACTCCAAGACCTTCGGCAAGCTGGTGGAGTCAGCTGCGAAGGCCCAGGTCTTGTGCGGGGAGTGGTTGCGAAGCTGCAAAAACCTCGCCCAAAGAAGGTTGTGTGGAAAATAGACCTAAACGTTCACAATAGAGGCTCGTCTTCCTAGCAGCTTGCCAAATCCTCGAGCAAATCCTCACAGGATGGTGGTTTAGAAACTGGACTCTGGGCATCTACCACGCAGGCACACTTTCCGTGTGCAGCTTGCCAGATCCAAGAGAACAAGGCCCCAAAAGCTTGCTTGCAGAGTTTTCCTTGCAGCTTGCCCAACCCTGAAAAGCAGCAAGCCGGGACATGAGTGCCCCTCAACTAAAACCCATCGAGCCCTGAACCATCTTCCCCTGAAGGGGGAAACCAAACAGTGATACGATGTCATTCTTGCTTGTCTGAAGTAAAGCATCCTGCGTTCGAAAGAAGTCTTTCATCTGATCTTGCGTCTGCGTTCGAAGGAAGACGTTCATCTGATGCTGCTTCTGCGTGTACGACGGTCGAAAGAGGTCGTACTATTGCTGACTCTGATCTGGAAAGGGGGGAGAGAGAGAGAAAAAACAACAACAAGAAAACAAGAGACCTCCTGTTTTTTTTTGGTCTTTTTTTCTTCCCTCCCACCCCCTCCGGAGCAGGCAAACTACATCTGCCTGAATGCAGGGGCACGTAAGCACAGGTTAGACACCGCGTGGGATGTTTGGCAAGCGCCGGTGTCAATGCAAATGTTCCACTCTTTGCTCACCGCTCAGGCTACCAGCTGAGATAGCCCGAGCCTGTCTGAGCGCCGAAAATTACGGAAAAAAAGACAGGGCTTACAATGGATGACACTCCAAGACTACAGCGCATCAAGGGAATCAACAGCACACTGGAGAACAGAAACGGCCTCGACAAGCAGAAGCCAGCGCATTGCCAAAACGAACAAAGCTGTCCAGTCCCAGAAGAACAACTTGAGGACTACAGGAGAACAACCATCAGATTCCAGGATGGTACAACGAACACGTTTGAGGACAAGTGTCAACCAATGGAAATGCCACACAAAGCACAACAGCAAACGTGGAAAGGAGAAGCAGCATTCAGGAGTAAGAAAGGCACGAAACTGCCAGACAACAGTTTGCGGCAAAGACACAGCCAAAGAGAACACCACAGAAGGTCACACCACAAGTGATCCAGTACAACCCACGCAAGAGATTGAATGAGAAAACAACACCACCAACAATCAGTGATACAGCAGCACCACACACCACCAAAGGTGCAGCTGGACATGGACTTCCACATCCTTTAGAAGCACACCCTGGAGGAGACTGCTGGCACAGAGAAGGCCCATACTGGAAGAGAGTACACATCGAGCCACGCACAGCATTTTACATACCAGAGCAGACACATGACGGGCCAGACATCAAGCGACTCATACTTTGGAGACAGAGCAAATTACAAATAGTAGAGATTGGTAGAAGATGAATGGACAACACAGCCGGCAAGGACATCACACAGACTGGACAACGTTCGAAGAACATCAGGAAATTCCAACACAACTTGAGTCACATGATGAGGAACAACAACAAGGCACAAAAGCAAAAGCAGTACAAGCACCTAAGCAACCAACGCCACGACAGGAGATCCAAAAGCACAATGTGACACACCTTCCTTACAGGAATTGGTGTCCAATATGCGTACAAGCAAGAGGCAGACAAAACAATCGCCCAAAGCAACACAGCAAGCTTCCAATCATACAGCTTGACTTCGGCTACATCAAAGGCTTTGACGACAGCAACGTACATCAAATCCTCACAGCAATTGACGTCCAATCTGGGATGGTCATGGCAACGCAGCGAACCGACAAGAGGATGCTCATTGACTATGCAGTCAAACAACTACAGCGCTTCCTCATTGAATGTGGAAGAACATCACACACCTTACTACAATCAGATCAGGAAGACTCAGGAGCACACAGATCACAATCAGGAGTTGAGCGAGCACACATAACACTGTTTGCGCAAGTCAGAACACTCAAGGCACAGATCAGGCAAAACTGCAACAGAGACATTTCAATGAAGCATCCACTCATGCCTTGGATAGTTCGACGCAGTGCATACATCATGAGCAGGTATGCAGCCCACAGCAATGGATGCACAAGCTACTTCAACAGATGGAGCAGAGACCAACACACACCACCTTTGGCGAGACGGTGCAGTACATGTTTCCAACAGTGAAACAATTTCCAAAACTAGAGCCAAGGTTCTACAACGGGATCTGGCTTAACAGGCAAGTCCCTCATCGGGACCCACAACAAGATTGGCAGAGCAAGGGCACTCAGAAGGCAGATAGTGCCTCACAAGTACAACCACAACTACTGGACTGTTTACACACAGGTCCATGGAAGACACCAGCATCAGCGCTGCCTACACCAACTCTCACCACGCCAGTGACAATGCCAGCAGGCAGTCAACGCACCTACATCACAGAAAGATGCAACAACAAGCGCAGCATCAGAAGTCAAGAGACAGAGCGCAGCACAGTCGAGTGATCAACCACCAAAGCAGAAGAGGACAGCAGAACCAACATCAACCAATGGCTACATCACCAACACATCAGAAGCGACCAGCACTGCCTGCACCACAAGGGGAAGACAGCTCTCAAAGCAACACGAGTTTGTGTAAAAAAACAGAAAAACAGCCAAACACATTGGGCGCCCCCCTCTCCATTTTTTCCCATCCTCACTTCCAATCAGAACCCGGGTAGATGAAGGTTCGTAACGGCCGCCTTTGTATTTCTTTGCCTGGTTCTGGGGATCGAGCATTTCAATACCGATCGGTTTGGATTGTGTCTCAACCTAGGGTTCATTTTGAGGCATGCTCCATTTTGACACTTAGGTCGGATGGACAAAATCCTGCACCAGTTGGTCTCTAGTTGTATCCCGTTATTTGCAGGGTTTCATCCATTCTATCGCATTATTTACAGGGTTTCATCCATTGTATCCCATCATTGACATGTATACATATATATTTTTCCATCCCAAGAGAGGAAATCTCGTCCACCCACTGTAGGTCTGCCTGTCTTCGCGTTGAAAGCAGCGAGCTGGTCAGGCAGCCCGCCCAGAGGAGGCTGAGCGCTGGCTCCGCGTCTATGCGGACGCCGGCGAGACAGTGGACGCAGTGCCGGGGAGCCCGGGGGTTTGTCTCATGGAAGCGTTTGGGTATGGGTCAAAGATAAACCACCCGGCGACCGCAGGTTTTAGTCCTTGGTTTGCCAGGGTTCCATTTTGGATACCTCATCTTGACCCACAGCCATTCTGGTCGACATTTTTGAGGGTGCCCCTTTTGGGATTGGTAAGGGAGACCAGAAGGACACCCCCCACCCACTTTAAGGGGGTCCAGCGAAAAGAGACTCACCCATTTTGGGCATTTTGGGGGTTCTCTTTGGTTTCTGTCTCCAAAGCCCCGAAGTAGGTAGGCTTGAGAAAAGAGACGGCCCAAAGTCTTTTTGGGTGCCTACGAATGGGCTCTGTTTCCTTTTTCAGGAACGGTCAATGGGGCATCATGACCCGGGCTGTGGGGTTGGAGCACCAGTGGATGCATTAGGGGAATTCCGCTTGAGAACGGATCCTTCCTTACCCCCCTCCCCTCCCGCCCCACAGATGGCTGGCAGGGCTGTTCATGGCATGACTTGCCGCTTGCAGGGTTTCTCCGAGCGTCTGATTTCATCAAAGAGGTGGAGACTTGGCCAAAGCTTTTCTTTTGGTTTCCCCTGGCCAGTCAGCCATCTACCCTTCCAAAGTCTAGGAGCAAGCTGCAAGCCTTGGAGCCTTTCCAAGGGCTCCCACTGTGCTTCCCTTGAGCTCTGATTGAATTTCGGATCGGAAGTTTCTCCACGCTCAGTGGCATTTGGCACGAAAGTGTGTGGTGTCCCAACATGCCCTGAGGTCCATGTCCGGAAGGCCCCACAGATTCGGCCAGGCCCTTCAGTGCCGCCATCGATGCTTGTGCCAAGGCCGGGGAGCTTGGGCGATGGAGGTTGGGATGCTGTTTTGGTCACCTGGCTTTGACCTACCAGAAGAAAAGTGATTTTGTCTTGTAGGGTGGTCTTGTTTCAAGACGTGCCCAGGTGTTGGTCCTAGGGCACACCTCAACAAAGAGGAGAACCACTCTTTCTTGGAGGGTCAGTAGGGGTGTCCAGATGTCCGAAAATCAGGGGCTCCGTTTGGACGAAAGGGGACATCAAACGGAAACCAACCGTTGACTCGTGTTCGCTTCAAAATGGACACGCAAATCCACTCTGCAAATTGAGGACGAAACCAAGAAAACGGAGTCTTCTCCCACAAACAAAAAATTGGGGTCTGATGTGAATCTGCGGGGAGCACCCCGGACTGCAAGAATTGCTTCCCTCTAGCTTTCTGCCTAATCCTCGGAAATGCGGGCACCTTCCTTTTAAACGCACAAACAGTTCGCTGAGCTCCTGTTTCTAAGAAACGCATCACGTGTGTCTTTCTTTCGCCGCGAGCCTGCAAGCAGTTGCTGTTCTCTTGGTTATACGACGTGGAAGACTTTAGCGGAGGAACGTGGACAGAAGCGTGCCTGGTTTGACAGCCGGCTCTGTCCCCCATGTAGTGGGGATCAAATTCCTTTGCTTCGTCGATTTCACGTTCGTGCCACTGAAGGCCGTTGCAAGGGACTTCTGGTGAGGGGATCCTTTTCCTGCGTAGGCGAGCGAGAAGTCCAAGGCTGTGTATTGGTTGCAGCATATGCAAAAGCTGCAGCTGAGGCAGGGCATATTTTGTTGTTGTCTGAAAGGGACTCCGTGAACTTTTGGCTGTTGGTCAACAGCACCAAGGACTCAAACCTGCGGTGGTGGCTTAATTTTGACCCATGCCCTGTTGGGATTCCCGCCTAGTTGAGTTGGGGGTAACTGCACTGTGCCGCGTTGATCCCACCTGGGTCCAGGTCTCCAACAGTCTGACAGTGTGACGCCTCTTTGGCGGTTTGGCCAAAAGGGCTGATTCGCTTTTTGTGTGTTGCTGTTTACCCTCGGGGGGCGGGGGGGGGGGGGGCGGGGTGTGTGGGTTTTGGGCCAAATCTTTACCATTGAGTTGCAAGCCAATAGGGGCAGTGGTCCGAACAGGAACTGCACCAGGTGCCCAGGGTGAACAATGCTTCTGCCACGATCAGCTAGCTACTTACCTTCTTTGCACTAATTACTTGCAGTAAACTTGAGCATTTCTTTTTTGCAAAGTCTCGGGTGGAACAAGTCCTGCAGCTTGTTGAATGCAGCAATCCACTCAGAGAACCGTCGTATCCCTTCCTTTCCTTTTGGGGCTTCTTCGTTCGCCTTTGAGAGCAACAAAACACATGGTGTTTGGGATCAACACATGTGCACCTGGGGGGATCAAAGCCTCGCCGGATTTCTCATTGGTCTCCGTTCCATTGGTTTCCTGTTGGCATCCGCAAAGACGCAATGGCCCCTTTGAAACGCACATGAGAGCTCACATGGACATCTATGAACAGCTCTCTCTCTCTCTCTCTCTCTCTCTGTCTCTCTCTCTCTCTCTCTGTCTCTCTCTCTCTCTCTGTCTCTCTCTCTCTCTCTCTGTCTCTTTCTCTCTCTCTCTCCTTTCTCTTTCTCTTTCTCTTTATCTCTCTCCTTTCTCTTTCTCTTTCTCTTTCTCTGTCTCTTATTTTTTTCTCTTTTCAGGGCACCAAAAAAAAACGTCAACACGAACATTGATCCACCAACAACGCACACCAGCCTCGTCAACCTGGGCTTCCTGGGGGAAGGCCCTCCGCGGCGGCGGTGAACGCGGCGCTGGCGGCCTTCGCCCGTGCTGGGGACCTGCGGGGGGTGGAGCGCCTGAGGCCGCTGGTGGAGGAGCCATGGCCGGATGTGAGTGGTTCATGGCCATTGGTTCACTTCAGAGACTCATTCAACCTAAAGGGCTGAATAATTGGAATGGGGGTTTGGGGCACAAAACTAAAGCAATTAAGTCATGTCCATGGGAAACTATTCTTCAGCCGGGAGTTGGTTGGCGTGGTTGGCGGCACGGGGGTTGGCGGGTAGGGGGACGGCTGGGGGTGTTCTGTGTTTGACAAGCGTTGATATTGATGCATTCTTGGCTTCTGTCATTTGACAATGAGGCCTTTGATGTTCACTACTCATTGTAGCATGCGCAGATAGAAAGGTAGCCTCGCTGAGGGTGCGGACAGACCACCGTGGTTGGCTGGCGCGGGACAGGGGGGTCAGGGCGGCACTTAACCATTCATTTCATGAGCTCTGTAGCAGTTGAAAACATCCTCTCCGGGGGAAAAGGGGGGGTGGAGTTCCTTCGTGGTCTGTTCTGGGCACCTGTGCTGTTTGTGATGTTTGTAATATAACGTATTGACAGCTATTTTTGCTTCGTTTTGAAGCGAGGAGGCAAAGAGGGGTTGGTTCAAATGGAGCCAAAGGGGTATCTAGTTTCACAAAGCAAGGAAGCCAAAGGAAACCAAACACCAAGCAATTGGGGTCCCTAGTTCTTTTGATCCAAAGTAAAACCGACCTGGGATGGATGGGACCTCATCCGGTTCCGACTCATTCTTTTGGCAGGACGCAGAAAAGGAGTCCATGTACCTGGCTCTGCTCACTGCTTGCGCTCCTCGGGCCAGAATGGGCCGCTTACAGACCTAGCAGAGAGGGGAACAATAAGGGACAGATTCTCCGTCTTCCATGTCTTCCATTTGGCCATGCGTCAAAAGCCGAATCGTACTTCCAGTGAACATCCCAATCCAACCACGAAAATAGGTTTAAAAATGGGTGGTGAATTCACCTAACAACCAAAACGGGATCCCAAAGCGGTTTTGACCACCACAGCCATATGGGAGGGCAATGTCTGCTGATTCATTCTTGACGAGGTACTGATTCGGGGGTTAAACAAGCGAAACCCGATGATGAAGGCCCATCACAAGGGGTTTCCATTTGTCGTCTTCTTGTAACCCCAACCGACCACTTTCCACCCATTCGAGGCGGAGAGCGGGCGCTTTGAGGAGGCAGAGAAGTGGCTGCGGCAGATGCAGCTGGAGGCCATGGATTGGGGTGCATGGTGTCCTTTTTGGTTGGTTTGCTGAAAAAATGGGCCATGGGCCCTGGTTTAGATGGGGTTTGTTCCATTTAGCAAAGCCAGCTATTTTTCCAAAAGGCCACCTATGGTGGGGTGAGCCCAAAAAGTGAAGCCGTGCTGAGATGTGTTCTATTTGCCAAAAAGGGGCAACATCCTGGGAAGCGGCCGACGAATGTGCCAGAAAGGCTCAGGTGCAATGGTACGGCAGAACGATACCTTTTAATTTTGCATGAAGGAGCCTCCCTGGGGAGGTTGGGTACCTTTGTAACATGGCCTGGCAAACGGCAAGAAGCTTGATTCTCTATTTGCAGCTTTGCTTTTTTTGGGTTCTGAAAGAAGCAGGAGGCTTTTAAAAAGCAGGGATCTCTCTTGGTTTGCCCTCTTCTGGTAGCCTAAGAGTACATGGAGGGATCATTGCTCCCATTCGCGAACAATCACTATTCTTGGAATGGCTTCTTGCGGCTTTTTAGTTCTCTTCGAGTGTGTTTTGGACTGCCGACAACCAACACAGCCTTTGCTGCCAACGTACCATGGGTGGGGAAGAAAAGGCCAGGCCCAATTTGACGCATTTTTCAATGGTTTTTCGGTTTGTCCGAAATGCCCAGTTACTGAAAAGCAGCCACAGACTTAGATAGCGCTGTTTCCTGAGGTTGATTAGACTTGCTTCTCCTTCCAAAAGGGAGTGGCTTGGTTTCCGGGAATGGGTTGGTTTCTTTTTGGTTTTCCTTTCAACACCTCAAAAGCACAATAAAGGAGTTGAAGGCACTTTTTCCACCTTGTCCCTTCTGCCTCCACTCAAAACCGGGGAGTTAACGCCACTGTTTCTTTTTGGTTTTCCTTCCGAAACCACAACCATCTCTCCTATTGTGTCACAATTTTCGGGTCTAATATTTTCTTGCCTAGTCTTTTTTCTCCAACACCGCCCTTTTTGTTTTTTTACTTGTCTTCTTTGTTTTGGGTCCCCTTTTGGTGATTTTGGGTCCAATCCTTTTTCCCCGGGTTTTTTGCTCATCCTCCTTTTTCCAATCTTTTTTCGCCCCTTTTGGTCGAATTGTCTTGGGCCCCCTGGCGCTTCGGTCTCTTTCGCGCTGAGGGCCTGGCGCCTGGGGTCGTCGGCTTCTCCGCGGCGATCGGGGCCTGCGGGGCGCGGAACGAGCTACAAAGGGCGGAGCGCTGGGTGGAGGAGTCGCCGGTTTTGAGTGCGGCGTCGGGTTCAGGAAAGCCTTGGTTGGTTTGGTTTGGATTTGGATTTGAAGCCCTTCCTTTTCAAATGGGAAACAGCCTGACGAAACCACCAATCCAACCACTGGGAAGCTTTCTCTGGGTTGGGGCTCAAGGGAAGCACCCATCTTTTTGGACCAAACCTTGCAGTTTCACGGTTACCCACCAGTAAATTTTTGAATCCAGTGACCAACCCCTGAAAAATCGAGGGTTCAACGTCCCAGCCGTGGACAGAGACTCCTAGAGGGTCTGGGGTCTCTATGGGTGTCTGTGCCAAGCCCCAGGATGAGCCCCGAAGGCCTGAAAAGTTAATAAGACCATGGAACCTCCATAGACCCCAGTGGCCAATTTAGTAGGTGGTTCTACCTGGTCTTATGGAGGTGGTCAGGCCTATTAAAAAAGTCTTAAAACTGCCGCCAGGAATTGTAGTGGGGACCACCGCACAAGTGGTTGGTGGACATCAATCAATCGTGCCACAGTGTTTTTTCTTCTTGACTTTTCTGCCATGGCGCCTTTTGGGAAAGCATTTTTTTTTTTTTTAAACTTTTTACCCTCTGCCAGACACACATATTCAGTGTGTTCAGCCGCAACATGATAAGAACACGCATTCCAGTGCATTCATGGTTGTTGTGTGCATGATGGCAACATGATAAGAACACACCTTTCAGCACATTCATACGTGGCGCATGCATGATGACAACATGATAAGAGGACGCATTCCAGCACATTCATGGTTGGCAGGTGCACGATGGTCACATGATAAGAGCAGGTTGTTGCATGCATAGCAACATCGCAGGAATGCATGTTCCAGCACATGCATGGTTGGCGCGTCCATGATGGCACCATGATAAGAACACGCTTTCCGGCACATTGATGGGTGGCGCTTGCTTGATGGCAACATGATACGAACACCCCTTCAGTCATGATGGCAATATGATTAGCACATGTTCCAGTGCATATTTGATTGTTGCATGGATGATGGCAACCCCAGTGCACTTGTGGTGGTGAATTGTCTAGATTCCATGTTCCAGTGCATGCACGCATCGCCACATGATGAGAACACACGCTCCAGTGGCATTCATGGTTGCTGCGTGCACAAAGGCAACACGGTCCAGCACATTCGTGGCATGCTGATGGCAACATGACAAGAACACTCTTTCCAGCGCATTCACGAGTGGCACGTGCTTGATGGCAACACAATAAGAGCGCACGTCCAAGCAAATTCACGGTGGAGCGTGCTTGAGGGTACATGATAAGAACCCTTCCAGCACCTTCATGGTTGGCGTGTGCATGATGGCAACATGAGAAGAACAGACATTCCAGGCAACCTAATTGCCCACATTTTACGATGGCCATGACATACAACAACTTGTTTTAAACGGGTATTGACCAATTTAGGATCTTGTGCTACTGGTCTTCTTCTGGTTTCCATGTACAACAACCAAAAAGGGAACCTCACCTCAAAAGTGACCTTAGCCCGAAAGTTTTCCGCTGTTGACTCCAAAGTACTCCTGCTTTCTTTGGGGGGGAGCTTAACAGTCGTTGACGCATCGTCTTCTGGAAAGGCATTTTTTCTGTTGTTTTTGCTGTCAACCCCGCGAGAAGGTTGTGGTAATCCCATATCAAGATCGGGCGTCAAGCGCACCTGCTTAGCACCGCTCACACGCCTGCCGCATGGTAAGCACCCGCTCACTCTAGAGGAAAAAGACAGCTGCCGCTATCTGATTCGCGGAGCTTTTTGTGGTAGATGACCCGTGATTCGACCTCCTCTTGCGGGGTTGCTACCTTGTTTTTCTCCGCTGGGGGCACATTCAAAGAGGTGCTAACTCTGTCGGCTGGGTTGGTGGGCTTGTGTGTATTCTGAGAGGTGCCATTGAGACCAACGTTTGGAGGTGGACGCTCGGAGCCCTCTTCATAGGGGCGTCTTCCAAAGCCTTCCGATCCTCCCATCCCCAGTTGGGAGGAAAGTATCCCGAACATCATGCCCAATGAGCAAGTAGAGAGAACGTTCGCGGGTGGCTTTGTGAGGCCCATAGTTCAGTGGCAGTATTTGCCCCCGTTTTGTTCCGGGTGGTTCTCTTCCAAAAGAAAGCAGCTCAGAGAAGTCGGACTCATGCCCAAGGAAAGATCCACCCGGTGGGCCCGAACTCAGAATGGTTTTCTTTTCGTCCTCATGGCCCAGAGTTCCCAATGATAGCAGTCCACCACCAGCATCCTACAATCAACCCTAGCGTTGACGCATGATACATCAGCTTGGGAGATAAACAGGAAGGTGCGCCTCCCTCAAGCACTTTGAACCCCAATCAAAGTCAATCCAAGGGTGAGCTTCTTGGAGCGAAGTAGTTCCAAGTAGTAGGCCACTGGAGTTTTCGGCGAGAGTCTCAGGAGATGCGAGCGCAGGGCCTGCAACCAGACGCCAGATGTCGCGCGCCGGGAGTGACAAACTCACATTGAGGGAACCCCAGCTGGCCCTGGGTCACCAATGGGATCCCATTTTGGTTGGTAGGTGCACCACTCCTTCTAGTGTATTTTAGTGGGGATTGGGATGTTCACTGGGGGTACGATTTGGGTTTTGACCCATAGCCAAATGGCAGTCCCTAAGTCCAACAGGAGACTCTCAGACACCAAATATTTGGGTTCCACATCAGAAGTTCATGAGGATTTATGTCCACCAAATGCCATGACTTGCTCAAGGGCGAGTCATTTACGCTCCAATTTCAGATGCCTGTCAAAGCAAGGAGCCCCTCCAACTGCAAAACGGACACAAACGCTTTCCCATTTGCACGGGTATCTTCAATTGAACCGATCGTGACTTTCTTCTCTTTCAGCTTGCCCACCCTGGCAAATTAAACGGGTACTGCAGTCTCTCAGCTTGATGCTGACGTGTCACAACTTGACCAATCGCTTGTCCGCTCTCTTCATTCAAGATTGTTCAATACAAATCTTGGGCTTCACAAATCTGTTGGTTCGTTTGAGTGTCTCTGCTTGTTTTCACCAATCTTGCTCCACTCCCCTTCTTTCGATAGAAGGGCAACATTCGGTTCTCATGCCTGGTTTCCCAACACAATTCAAACCCTCCGTAATACCGGAAGCTTTCCAGACAACTCCTTGAAGCTTTACTACATTTTCGGTCGGAAGTCGGATATTGTAAGCAATTCCCACATCTCCAGGCACACCGATTCGCTCAAGGAACCCGTTTTGCCCCATGGTTGACTACCGGATGAGACATTTCGATGGACAAAGAGCAACCTACCCAAGAGGCGACCTCAAGACAGCGACGTTTTTTATCTATGTCCAGAAAACAACAACTTCCAGAGATACTTGCTCTCAATAAAACAAGCAATGTGTCGATCTCTGGCCCAAAACACCGTCTGCTTGTCGGTCTCATTGTAAGAATGCTTCTATCTCTGGCCAACAAAACCTGGTATGGTCGACCTCAATATACAAATGCGTTTATCTCTCGCCCCAAAAGCCTGATATGGTCGACCTCACTATACAAATGCTTGGGTGCCTGGCCAACAAGACGGATATGGTCGTGACCCAACACATCCTGACATAGTCAATCTCAGCGTGGCAATGCTTCTACATTTGCCAAAGAAGCTTGAGAAGAATCCAGCTCAATATACCAATTCTTCGGTCTCTAGAAGAACAAATTAACATGAAGGAAGCATAGAACTCCCCCAGCCTTTCGGAAGCAAGGCTACACGGTGCTGCTCAGCGGCTGCGCGCGTCACCGGGACCTCGAAAAAGCCGAACGATGGATGCAGGAGACAGGGGCCTGCTTCTTTTGGTCGGCTCCCAGTTTGCCTCTCGCTTTCGTGCTCCAAACCTCCTTCTCTTCCCAAGAAAAATTAAAAAAGATCCCAAGTCATTCATCCGGCAACTCCTTGTGGAGTGGTTTGAAGCCGGTTCTTGTAGGTAACATGGGTTTGAACCGCCCGGTTCTTCACCGGACACCGGAGACCGGTTGGACCGGACGCCCACGGCGCCCACGGGGGCGCCGCAGGAGATGTCCTCGACATGCTGCGCGCCGGATCTGCAGCGCCGTGGCCTCAAAGCGGCCCAACGTGGGTTCATTTTTTTGCCCCGTTTTTTTTCTGTTCCCCCCTCCCCCCCCCCCCCCCTCTGTTTTTGTTTTCTCTGTGTTTTTTTTGTTTTTTTTGGGGAAAGGGGAGTTGACTGGATGGGTTCTTGGCGTTTCTGGTTTCTTTTTCCCAACCGTTTTGGTTTTGCTTTTTGAACCTTGACTGGATCGCAGATGGGTGTGGCTCTCTCCTTTTGGTTTCTTTTTTCGGGCTTCCTTCTGGTCCCCGAACGTGGCACCTGACAGGCAGGAGGGACCCAAGAGGTGTCTTTTTTGGATTTCAAACGGCAATTGGAAGCCGAAGCTCATGGGGTGCAGGTTTGAGAGAAGCAGCTCGGCTCAGAAAATTCTTTTTTGCGGCAAAACGTGCGAAACCGCTTGGGGTGATGTTTCTTGGCCGTCCTTTTCTTTTGCTGAAACGAAGGGTTGGAGGGCATGTTCCTAAAGGTGCAACAAAAGGACGGCTCCAATCTGAATTTTGCCAAAAGGACCAGGCTGATGTGGAATGAGGGGAATATGGCGGTTTCTGCTGCGACAGGTTGGGGCTGTATGTTTTCAATCCAATAGATGGTTGACTGGTTTGCTCTGAAGGAAAGTGGGAATGTCATGTTGGCCTCGCATGTGAGAGCCCTGGGGTTTTCCATCGGAGGGTTTGCCAAGAGTCGTCTGGGCACTGAGACCCCTTCAATTCGGATGCCCCAATCATCAAAGGGCGATGGCCATATATGATATACACAACTTGTGCCGCAAGGCTCCTCTGGCCTTGCGATTCTCTCCACGTCGGAGAGCTTGGGGCTTTGGTTTAGGTTACAGCCACCGGTGTGGTTAAACCTAGACCACGAGCCGGTGATGTAGCGTAGAACTGTGCCTGGAACACAGCCACACCGAAAGATCGATTTCTGTCTTTCCCAAGGTGGCGTGTTTTTGGGGTCTTGGACCAACTTTTTTGGTGGTAATTCCAGTGGTGATCGCCCGGTTTTCGGGTTTTCCGATGGTGCATCGGGCTTCCGAGAGTTTATGTGTGCAGGTGGAAGAGGTAAATCAGCCCAAGGCCTTGCCGTACAGCCGAGTAGTTCGGACACCGGCCACAAGAAAAGGAGGCCCCGGATTACGATTTAGATTCCTTTACCATGACCTCGTCTTTCTTGACGAGGTCCTCAAAGAGTGGCACATTGCGGGATGGGAGGTAAAGGTTTCGCGACGAATTGGGGTACAGACGTATTCCCTTCAATCACTTTTGTTTCAGCCACTCCTTTCATTTCCGTATAAGCTGTTTGAACCAAGCTGTTCACTTCCAAGCTCCTTTCTTTTGGTTTCTTCTTGCAGAACCCCAAAGAACCTGCTGACATTGGGTTTTGCGTGTGACTCTTGTTGCCTTGGTTCGCTGTTTTTTGGGCTCAGGGACGCTCCCCCTTGGATGGTTTTCCGAGCGAAGCGGTCACACTTCCTTGACTGTGTTGGTGGTTGGCCCAAATCTTTTTTCTTCTGAGGGTACCCTTTTCACCCTTAGAGAGAAGGGATACCTCCGAGGAAAACCCCGCATTTTGGGGGCGTTCCATTCTGATACATACCTGAATTCCTTCATGCGTAGCTTTCGGGGGCCGGGCGGAGCCCGGGGCTTGCCATTTGGTCCGGAAAAGGCCCCCGCATTTTGTGTGGACATCCTCTTCTCAGGGGCCATCTTTGTTAACCTCCAGAATTCGGGGACCCTTAGAATGATCTGACAATTCAAGCCGAAAACGGTAGCAACTCCAACAAGGAGCCACGCCATGAGGGAAGATACTCCAAAACACCACCAACACCCACCCACCCCAAACCGCTTCAAATCAAGGCAACAGCAGCGGTCCAAGACCCCAAGAACCTTTATCCCAGCGTATCTTGCTCGGATTTCCCCTTTGGTTTCCCTTTTCGTACGACCTCAAATTCTGCCACCTCGTGGCCTTTTGCAACGAGCTCTCGGGAGCTGAGGTGCTACGCGGCCATGGTGGATGCCTGCGCTCGACACCGCTCCAGCGAGCGCGGGGAGCAGTGGCTGATGGCTATGACAGAGGCGGGGATGCAGGGCTCTTCGCACCTCGGGGGGGGGGGGTATCTGGAAGATCACTTTGGTGCCTTTTGCTTGGATGTTACTTCAACTTTTTGCCAACTAATGGGTCTTGTATTAAACCGCTAAAAGTTAAAGCTTTTAGCAGGGGAGCAGAAAGCAACCAAGATCAGGTTCCTCTTAGAGGAACTGATTTCGTGCAAACCTGCTCTAAACGAACTGGTTGACGTCTGAAGTCTCTATGGAGAACCTCGAGAAGAGCCTCCAAAAACGACCAACCGGGACCCGTACAAGCCTTAGACTTCGAGGTTACCTCGACTCGGCCACGCTCCCGCCAGCTTTTCAAATGAGCTCGCCTTGAGGACCTCGGGCAGAGCTCGACTGGAAGGGTCAGCCTGGGGAACCTGAAGCACGTTATCTGAGAAGCGATGGCAACAGCGCAAGCCCGGAGTCGAGGGGGTTGACGATGGATTTTGTCTGAAAGTCCGAAGCCCAAAATGGTTTCCGGTTTCCGTTTGGTTCTGCTTCAAACCCAGCCATGGCCAGACACACGCTGCGAGACCATGAGGGCTTCTATTTTGAGGAACACGCAAGAGGAGGGGATGTTTTGACCAAAGCGGGTACACCTCGAAGCGGTCAGGCTCATGTTGGTTTACAATCAAACACATCAAACAGGAGGGTTTTTTTTGTATACGTCCCAAACGGGATTCGCGGTTTGACAGCCAGCTTGCGACACAGAGTTGGGGACGGTCCCTTTGGTTTCCTTAACGTCCAGAAGATCGAACCTGAATTTCCCCAGTACATCGGTTCCAAAGGCTGGACCACATTCCTTCCTCAAGTCGCTGGGGGTGTCCAAATCTAGGAGAAGCTCGGAAAGCCTCGACGGGTTAATAAGACCATAGACCGTGGTTCTACCTGGTTTGATGGTGGTAAGGCCTATAGAAACCTTTAAAACACCTCCATGAATGTTAGCCTCCACTAATTGATGCCCACCAAAGGGCCCATTAAATTCACATCCATGCTTTAATGGAGGCGAACGTCGACGTTTTTTGGGCGCTCAGCTCAACATTCGCCGTCAGCTCTCAGGCCGGCATCAAACCCAACGAGGCCGGAGCCACGCCGCGTGTGGCAATTGGTTGCGCGGATGCAAAGGGGTGGGGGAAAATAAGTGTTTCAGCCATAGGCTAGGTGTCCTTTTTGGTTGCTCAGAAACTAGCGGGCCCTGGTTTAGATGGGGTTTGTTCCATTGACCAGGGCCATCTATTTTTCCAACAGGCCACCTATGCTCGCGTCTTTTCGCAGGTCATCTACGGTGTGCTCATCTCCTCCTGGGCCAAGACCTCTCCAGAGCGGGCAGAGGGCTTGTTGCGGAGGCGCGGCTTCGCGGGTGCTGGGATGTTCAACCCACGTCAGGCAGGCAGGTTAAAAACCATGAGTTGGCTCATGCCCTTAATCATAGTGGGGTAAATGGGTGACTTGCCCATGAGATGCGTTTGCCCATACCGCCCAAACATCATAGCTATTGGGACAAGTGGGGTTAGTTGCCGACCTAGGTGAGGCTTGGATTCAGGAAAGCCCAGGCTTCCACCTATCCAAACTACCGGGCTTGTTGGCTTGAAGCCATGCGGCCGTGTCGCTTGACTCTGGGCTTGCGCGGCTGGGACTGAATTCATGTTTTTTCTTCTTCTTCTTCTTCTTCTTTTTCTGGCCATCTGATTGTTTCCTCAACTTCTTTGAACTGTAAATGGGGGACATCACAGGGCTTTTCCAATTTCGGAATAAGGAAACATACATATTTGTGCGCGTTCACTTGCATCAGTTGCTTTCAGTTTCTGCTCTGGGTCTGGCAGGATGGTGGAGGATCACTTGGTCCCGAACGTGCCTTGGTTCGAATGGTGTTTTTTCCAGGGTACCCTTTGAGGTTGGTTTACAAGGAAGCCAAAGGAAGAAAACACAATTTTGTGGGTCCCCCCATTTTGGCACATACCTATTTTGGAGCTTCGTTGGTTTAGGAGGGGTCGTTTTCCAGCTGAACGGAAGGACAATCGATGTGTGTGGCATCCTATCCACAGAGATAGAGCCCATGTAGGATTACCTAATTAGCCAAGGATTCTGCGAGCTAGTTTGAGGTCTTCGGGAGGAACATAGAGACACAACAAACCCACCATAGCCATGTTGACAGAAGCACAAGTTTTTGTTTTTGAACGTTCCTTCTCCATCGGCTTGTTCGAGCCCTCCTTGACCTACTCCACCATGGACGCGCCGAAAGTTTGTCAAAGCTGACTCTGGCGTCACCGAAAGAGCATCCCATTCTTCACAGCCATGCTGAGGACCCGCCCAAGCATACATCTGCATCAATGGCCCTTTGCAGCAGGGGTCCAGCATGTATGGAGGACGGGGCCACACATTTTTTTCCAATTTTGGGAGACCAGATCCCAGCGGTTGGCACCCTCAAAGTCCCTTTTTCTTCGGCTCCCCAAAAAGCTGAGCCTTTTCCCGGGCTTCCATTTCCCTCTCCCTGACCCCTTGGATCCTTCTCGAATGGGGTGAAAACTGCTCGCACGTGGATCCGGGCGGGTGCTGCTTCTTGCTGAGGTGATCGCCTGCACCTCGGTGGTCAGTGCCTGGGCCAGGAAGGGCAAGGCCTGCCAGGCGCGGAGGGCCTTCGAGGACATGCGCCAGGCGCGCCCGCCTGGCTCGCGAACTCGGGGCGAACTCGCCGGAGCGAGGAGGTGACACGAGGTTTGTTGGTTTGTTTCGGGTTGGGTACCGTTTGTTGGACGGCTTGAAAGGGACATTCCCCCAACTAAGGGGAAGACGACATCGGGATATGAGAGGAACCTGGAGCTGGGCATAGGTTGCATTTGGGTGGGAAAAAGGGGGAGACATGAGGAGGAACATTTGATCGGAGTTCCTGCCCCCGGCTTTGATCAGCCCAGAGCACCTGGGCCGAGCCAAACTCTTGGTTTGGCAGTTGGGGTGGACGAGGTGGACGAGGGGCAGGTGCTCCATTGGTCCAAGGTTTTAGCCAATGGCAGTTTTCCTCTCGGCTTCTTTTGGCATCCCCAAGGTCCCAATGTCCCCACCCCCTTAAAATGGAAGTGGGGACCCACCCCCCCTCCTGAAGGTAGGGGGGAGGTCCCAATGTTTGTGCAAACTGGACCCCCGGAAGTTCCGAGGCCGAAGTGCAGCCCAACGTCATTGCCTGGAACGCGGTGCTGGACGGCTACGCCAAGGCCGCGGATGCTTCGAGGGCCTCCAGGTGCCTGCAGGCGCGGAGCGTTTCGATCGACCGCGTCCAGTTTTTTGTTTGCCCGGGGGCGGGGGGGGGGGGGATCTTGTATATGTGTATGTGTGTATATGTGTATGTGTGTGTGTGTGTGTGTGTGTGTGTGTGTGTGTGTGTGTGTGTGTGTGTGTGTGTGTGTGTGTGTGTGTGTGTGTCTGTGTGTGTGTGTTTTTTTCTCCGGCTTTCGGCGTGTACTTCTCCTTTGGGAAATGACCTGTTTGGTTGGTTACTGACTGACCGCGGCTTAGACAGATGTCCCCAATCTTGGCTCCAAGTTTTAGCGTCCGCTCGCTGGTTGCTTGGTCTCTCAGCTCATTGGCTGATTCAGTTGCATGACACTCCTAGGCGGAATGCAGTTGACTGCCAAGGTCTGTGCACTTCTACCCTTGGGAGGGTAATTGGGTCAGAACACCTTTTTTTTTTCTACCGACAAAACCCCCGCACACACACACACACCTAACGAAATGAAGAAGCAATTTGTTTTATAGAGCCGTGTTTCTCGAAAATTCTCCGAGCCTTTGTTGGGAGAGGGGGTGGTTGCTCCCCAGTCGTCACAAGATACCCAGACCAACGTGAAAAAGGGATGGCTATGGCCGAACTTGCTCACAGGGTTCTGGTTTTGGACCGGAGCCCCCATCAAGCCATCCCTTTCGGCGGGGAAGGCATCACAAACCTCAAATGGGCCTTCGTCAAAGCAGCTTTTTCTCTTACTCGCGGGTTTTTATGGTCATCGACCCCCGAGAGTTTGGAATTTGGCCAAAACGAGTTGTCCCACATTTCGGGAGTCTGGATGAAGGCCAGAAGGGGGTCGGTAGCCCAGCCACTCGCCCGGCTTTTGGTGGTTGGCTTTGGGCGGTGACGTCGATCTGGGGTGCAGTTTCCGGGTTTGGCGCTTTGTGGTGGGGATATGGCAGGAAGCCGATTTCTTTTTGAGTTTCGGCAGATTTGGGCTTCCCTGCAGGCTGAAACCGCAAATGCCAGCAAGAAGCACCATTCGTTTCCATTCGCACAAGGTACGCTTCGGCATGGGGAAGGGCTCACTCGGTGCTTCCAATTGCCTCTATGCCAGGGTTTCTACCTTTGGGTTTTCATGGGACTGACCAATCTCCCCAACCTTCGATGAGAGACGGCAGGAGATGCTCGAGCACAAGGCCTCGCCGAGCCTTAAGCAGTCGGAACCCGGTTGCGTCTTCCATCACCGGTTGCGTGAGTTGCTCCTCAAACATGCACCAGCTGTCTTTTGTTTGGGAAGCTTGTTCTGATGAGTTTTGAAGGCAAACCAAAAGGATACCAACCATGCTTTTTGGGAGTCCCCCTCATTTTGAGACAAGGCCCTTTTACTGCGTGGCTTCTTTTTTCATTCCCCTCTGCAGGATCCAAACGGAATGACACCGAAGGTCGAGGCATTGGTACCCTCCGACCCACGGTTTGCACTTCAGGGCCTTGGCACTTCATGGGTTTGGGCGGGCTTTCCTTCAAGATCAAGCACCCCACGGAAAGCGGGTGCTTTCTTTGAATCTCCGGCCGAGGAACGCGGTGTCCTTCACGAGTTTGGTGGATTGCCAGAGCCGCCAGGAGGGAGATGGTTTTTTTGTTCCCTCGGAGGCGCCGCTCAAAGCGTTTCGATGCGCACTCCCCGAAAAAGACTTGGGGTTTCAGGAAGACACACCCCACACCCGGGTCCGGATAAAAAGAGGTTGAGACACCGACGCAAGGGAGGGAGCTTGTTTCAGGCAGCCAGCTGGTACAAGGCGCTCCTCTTTTGGTTTCAAAGTAATGCCAACCCAGGATTCATTAACCCTCATGTATCAATAAAAGGGGTGTACCCCCTTTCTATTAAGGGGGCAAGATACTTAGCAAGTGCCAATGGTAAGTTGGTACCCAGGCGTACTAACCACTCACATTTCGTGCCTTGTTCCTTGAAGCACCCTCTTCAACTGATTTCGGCTCGTTTTTCTTTTTGCTTTTGTCGCAGGACGCGGCGGCGGCGGGGGAGTGGGTGCGGCGCATGGAGCGTTGCTCGGTGCGGCCGTCGGCAGTGACCTTCACGGCGTTGCTCAGAGGCGGGGGGAGGTTGCGGGGGTCGGGGGAGGTGGGGAGGGAGGTGGGAGAGGTGGGTTGAGGGTTTCACCCTATGCCGTTGGTTATTTGAGGGTTTTGGGCCGGTTTCAGGCCCGGGGCGGAGCTGCCGCGTTGCCGCTTTGCCGCTGGCCCCGTCGGTGCCTGTAGGCTATGCCAGATCGGGGCAAGTGGCAGAAGCAGCCGCCACGCTGCACAGGACCAGGGGATTGGGCGGCTTGACCAAGCAGCCACTTGGCCCAATGAAAGTCAACGGGCTTCTCTCTTTTTGGGTGGGTTTCAGCAGACATTTGAGATTGTCGCTTTGTGGCGCCAAGTTGCAGGGGCACGGCGCACCACGAGGCCCTTTATACATTTGCCAATGTTGGGGTAGAACATCAAGCAGCAACTGAGTAAAGCCCAGGTACTGCAACGCAGGTTTTTGATGGGGTGTCCATCAAACTGAGTTGGACCTACGCCCAGTCGCGTTTGAACGTGTGCAAACATGAGCAACACAACGTGTCGGCCATTTGCCGTGTCCAAGAAGCAGGTTGGGTGCCCAACGTGTAACAAGGGGTGAAAAAGTCGTTTCAATCCATTCCAGTTTTGGACAGCGTGTTTGCAGCTTTACCGCATCTAAGCCTTGTCCATCAGGATGAGGTAAATCCAGCTTTCCCGAACTTGGCAAACCACCAGAAGTTTCGTTGAGAGGAAAACGTGTCTTCCAGGAAGCCCTCAGTCAGGAGAATGTTTGGGAAGACCTCAGTCAGGCTCCATGCCACCATCTTTAGTTATTCTTGTTTGTCTTTTTTGATTGTTGATTTTGAAGTCATTCAATCAATAAATCAAAACACACAAGCAACCAAACAAGCAAACAAACGACTGAATATCGCGACTTGGCGGTCAAGTCTGTGCACGGCTAAGCAGCAGTGCAGCAGCCCGATTTCCAGGCGCCTCACCTAAAAGGCCGAGCTAGGTCTGCAGCAGTGCGGACCGGCCGGCGTGATGTCCATTCGCAAAGAGCGGACCTGGTGGACTGTACAAAGTCCGCTGAAGCTCCTACCCAAATGCCCTGTTGGGGAGGGTGGACTCCACAGCTCAAAATGTTGATGCGCTCAACAAAAATCGCTGGCACACGAAAGTGATTGAAAGCAATCGTGTACATGCGTTTCACCAGCTTGATCTGGCTTGCGACAGTCGTAAGACCGAAATAGCAGGGTTTGGCCGAGAGTGGAACCCAGCTGTCCTTGCCGTTGCCAGGGACTGGAAAAGAAATACCGCTTCTGTGCAAAGCTATTGTGAGCTCAAGCCAACTGATGGCACGTGCAGCGTCTGTGTCTGCATCATGGCTCAATAGCCATTCCAGCGCGGATTAAACAAACGACTGAATACATGAGTAAATGAATACATGCATAAACAATCAAACCAACAAGCAAATGAATACATAAATAGATGGGACACACATAAACACATAAGCAGCACAGAAGAAATCGCGGTTTTCCGCCAGGATGGCCGCGAAGGGCTTGTCCCTGGACGTGGTGGCGTGGACCGCGATGCTCGGCGCCTGCGCCGAGCGCTGGGACGTGGCGCTGCGCCTCGGAAATTTTCGCGGCCGCGCGCGGCTTCCCGCGGGCTTTGTGGCGGGAGAGGAGAGGTGAGGTGTGGGGGGGTTTGGGGGTGTGGGGTTTGGGGGCTTGGAGGTTTGAGGGGTTTGGGGGCTTGAGGGGTTTGGGGTTTGGAGGTTTGGGGTTTGGGGGTTTGGGGGTTCCCGGATGGAAGTCATTGCAGTTTTAGCAGGCGCTCAAGGTCATAAAGTTGTGGTGGATGAGCCGGAGGCGATTTTGAGAAACACTCTTGGTGGCTTGCTTGCTTGCCTCGCCAAAGTTCCTCTGGCCCTTGGGCGCCGTGGCCAGAGGGTGGATCGAAGCGGGTTGCTACCTTGGGCTAAGTTGCCAGGCCAGGCCATCACTTGCCGGTGAAACCTTTTGGTGTTTCTATGTTTGTCAATATGGTCAGAGTCTCAACAGGTTTTCCGCTTTCCAGCTTCTGTGCTGTGAGCATGGAATCCCAGAAACTCTGGGCACGTTGCCCAACAAGGAGACTCCTCGTTTTCTTTTTTGTTGGGCAGTGCACCTTCCGCGTCTCATCCTGTCGACCCTGGATTCAGCGCAGATTCGGATTGGTCAACTGCTACATGTGCAACAAAAACCAAGGGCCGGAGCCCAACATTTTCACAATATCACAATATCCTTTAGGGTAGCACACTTTTTCGAGGGTACCCTGTTTGGGTTGTGGAACCACACTTGTTCCATATCCCATTCGTAGACAGCCCCATTTTCACCCTGGCTCTGCAAAGAAGTGTGTTTAGACTCTGTCCGTGGTCTGATGTATCCGCAAATGCTTTTGAAAGAGAAGGAAATAACAAAAAAAAGCCAAGACAAGACGCATCAAAGCAAAGAACACATGCACACACACACATCAAGCAAGAACCATCACTGAGACCAAACTGCAGAACACCCCAATATACTTTAAGCAATCTGTTCCGCAAGGATTGACAACATAAGGCGAAGACAAACTGCAAATCGATACGCCCGCCCAAGGCTACCCCCCAAGCCGTCCCGTCATTGTCGCGCACTCGAGGTGTGCCTTGCGTCAGATGCGGCAGCTGCAGGTCCTGCCCAACCAGGCGCGGCCAAGGCCAGATGCCTCGAACTGAGGGGGGGGCTTCCTTAGGACTAGGTTCATAATCTACAGTGGGCTGAACATCCAACAAGGCGAGTGGAAACGTTGAGCCGCGTTGACCTTTCTCTCGCTTTTTTCTCTCACTGAAGGATCCGCACCGTTTTCGCCGGAAACTTAGAACCATATCCATATCCGGACGAAATGGAGGAAAAATAATACTACAGCAAGTCACTGAGTTCCCTTGGTTTGTGTCACCTGGTACCATTCCAACGGAGTCGACCGTTTTGGAAGGCAACTTTCATATTGGGGGCTGTTTTCCCAGAACCCACTTCCATGATTGGGTATGACACCTATGTCCGATCATGGTTATATGATTCTAAGTTATAAGCACCTTGGCATGGAACCATGGAACTTGCCCTCCGTTTTTCGCAAACATCGGGCGGTTCTCAGACAGAATGGCCCCGGTTTCGGCAGTGTCCTTACACGTGTTTCTCCCAATCAGACCCTGTCCCTTTCACCTCTGCCATTTTCCAACTACCATCCAACCGTTGGCTCTCAAGCCATGGGATGGTTCCCCAAACAAATCGCCTGGATCAGCTTGAAAGGGGCCTGAAGTCTGGCCCAGATCACTCTGCAAGCTCTGCGGCACGCTGGCAGGACAGTTTTACTGGGTCCAGTGATTCCGAAGTTTTTCTGGTCGTGAGTGGACGCCAGCCAGGCATTTTCCATTGGCCTGGGCTTCCCCGTTGCAAGGGGCCAGATTTGTCAGCACCAATTGTGGGTAGAATGGGCTCACTATGAAGGTCTAATTAGTTGCAGATATGTCAAGGCAAAATGCAACTTGTTTGAAGCAACACCGGTTGGCCAGGTTTTCGATCGCCAATTCCGCGCTCGCTCCCGGGCACCTCGGGTCCGGTTCATAAACTACCAGGGCCATCTATTATTCAACCAAAAGGACGCCTATGATCGGCCTGCGGTTCATCATACCCCCTTGTTGTACGGCGCCAGGAGGGCGACGGGCGGCGAGGGCGACGGCGAGTGCTCCAAAGCTGGGCAGTCGCCAGTCATTCTGGTCTGAGGGGTCAAGCCCCAGAGACTCACATGCCATATTTGTGCTAGTGTTTCCTTGTCGCTTGGATATTTTGTTGCTGGCAAGCAGCTTGGTTTCATGCCTGGCTTTCTCAAGCCAGGGCAGGCTGCCCACGAATTTTAGTCATACGGACAGAGCACCGTTTGCAGAAACAGAACAACTTACAAAGGCAAGCGCAACTCAAGATGCAAGAGAACAACATTCTAAACCCACAGCAAGCCAACATTCCAAACCCACAAACCAAGCCAACCACCCACCGACTTCCAAAAACACCAACTTAACCAACCAGTACTGTGACGTTGTTGTCCTTCACACTGGAATTGCTTCGCCCGGATCGCATCAGAAATTCCCCTTTCAGATGGCGCGGGTTTGGCTGGCAGTTCAGGTTCCCCTGTGCTTCGCCTTTAGCCTCAGAGGCCCAGCAACGGCATGGTGGCGCCGAGAGATTCAGATTCAGCCGGAGGGCTCTCTGAAGGAGACACTGGCAGGCCTGGCTAAGACCCACATCTCTGTGCGGCCATCCCCAGACATAGAGGACCAGCTGATACTCTTGCACGCAGACCCGGCCGTGCTGCTGATCCCCAACCTTTGGAGACGTGAGGCCTGCGAGCAGCTTATTGCCGTGGCGAGAGGCAGCGGTGCCATGAGACAGTCGCACGCAACAGGCGTCAGCGATGCAGAAGCGCAGGCCCTCCGAACCAGCGGCAGCGTGGTCATGAAGCCTGAGATGGCAAGGCGGTTTGGTGCAGAGCGCCTGGTCCGCAAGCTGTTTCGCGACCTCGCCGTGCTAGGAGTTGGAGGCCCGCAAAGCGGCTACGGAGAATTTCCGCAGGTGGTGCGGTACGAGCACGGTCAGCACTTTGCTGAGCACCAGGATGCCTTTAACTGGGAGCAAGTCCAGCAGGATGGCTACCAGCGACAAGCAACCTTTCTCTTGTACCTGAACGATGTTGAAAAGGGCGGCGCCACGAGGTTTCCAGAGCTGGGCATAGATGTGCAGCCGCGCTGCGGCCAGGGCCTGCTTTTCTTCCCGGCCTTCAAGGATGGCAGGCAAGATGTGCGGACAGCCCATTCTGCAGAAGCGGCAGTTGACGAGAAATGGATTGCACAGGTGTGGAAGGGCAAGTTGGTTCCATCGCCGAGAAGATAGATAGATGCATTGTGAGTGAAAAAAGCAGTACCAAAAAAAACCTCAACTGAATCAACCATCGCATTACCAGAATCAGGAACTCAGGAACTAAACACATGTGGAGGCCTAGCTCCTTCCCCCCTTGCCTGTTGAACCCTCCCCCCTCCGTTTGGACCCGAAACGATGAGTGGTGCTTTTGAACCTTCTTTGTTTGTTTGTACGTGCATGTTTGGTTGGGTCGCACATCGAGGGACCCGTTCCTGTATTTTCAACCAGCAAGGGGATGCCGACAAGGCGAGCCCCTTGAAAGAAATTGCCGGAGGACTTGTACCAGGACGCGGGTTATCATGTAATGCATGTATGTGATGTAATGTAATGTAATGTAATGTAATGTAATGTAATGTAATGTAAGGTAAGGTAACGGAACGTAACGTAATGTAATGTAATGTAATGTAATGTAATGTATGCATGTATGTGATGACTGTATGTATGCAATGTAAATGAACTAAACTGAACTGAACTGAACTGAACTGACATGAAATGAAATGAAATGAAACGAAACGTAATGTAATGTAAGGTGATGTAATGCAATTTAATGTTCCATGTAATGTAATGCAATGTAATGTAATGTAACGTAACCTAATGTAGTGTAACGTGTTTTAATGCAATGTGTTGTAATGCAATGCAATACAATGCATTGCAATGCAATGTGATGTACTGTATTGCAAGGTATGTATACCTACACCTACACATACATACACAACATAAAATAACATATCAAAACAAAGAATCGCATCGCATCGCATCGCATCGCATCGCAATGCATCGAGTCGCATCGAGTCGCATCGCACCGCATCGCATTGCATCGCATTGCATCGCATGGCATCGCAGCGCATCGCATACATACACAGATGAGGTCTTACACTTGCACGCTGCCCGGCTGAGCCTTTTCCCAATGCCCAAGCCAGAGCTGCTTGACCGAAGGCCTGAGGAATGCAGCCACTTCCAGCCAGCTGGTCAGCTCATTGCTATCAGAGCACATGGGTGCCGCCATGGGAAACCTCCTCTCAGAGTGCAAGAGGTTCGGGGCAGTTGGGGGGGGGTCAGCAAACGGAGGGATTTCTGTTGGCCGCTGGAGTGCTGGCTCATGTGTTCAAAGCAAATTCTAGTTCGTTGGCAATCCTGGGTCTCCGGGAAAGATTCTGAACGAGCTTTTCCCAATGTAGTCGAGAATGCTTCTCGGACTTTTTTTTGGACCAACATCACATGCCGTAGAATTGCAACGTCCGCCTTCCGATCTTCGCGATAGCCCCAGCCTGGCGACCTTGCTACCTGTTGACCTAAATCGGTTCCCTAGTTTTGGTTCTGTTGGCAGAATGCGAAGCCTGGATCTAAGTAGAACCCTGGTTTACTACCAGTGGGCGTCCAACTCCCTTTTATGGAGATTCAGATGACACCCTCTGTTAATTGGACAGGCGTATGATTCCGAGGTCGCAAAGCTTAGGAGCCTTTCGCGGTTTGGACAAGACCTTGATCCACAATCGCTCTAAGCACTCCTGGAGTGTGAACGAGTTCAGGGGGATTGGGCCACCGCATTGAATCACTGACCTTCCCATCAACAAACATAAAAGTGCCCAGGAGCCTTTTTCCAAAGCATGTGAGAGGCGGTTTGTGCAAATCCATGTTTGGCGGGCCATTCTGCTTCTTTCACACAGTGCCCGGCAACTTGGGGTTTCAACAGCTCCGTGGCATGTTTTTTAAACGAACGCGCCTAGGCTCGCCGCTCCCTCGCCCTTCGCCGCTCCCTCGCCGGTGGGTTCCTCGAAACACGTGCGAAGTGTCGCCTGGGGCAGGTGCGCTGTATAGATTTTGCTTGAATTATTTTATCAATCTTTTCTTTATCTTCGTTGCTTTGTTGTTCGCGTTCAACTGGTTTAAGTTTTTCATCAATGGATTTAATCATATCATTTAAGGTTTTGATATTTTTACCGATTAATGTTATCTTCTTCATTCAATCATTAATAGTATAATTCTCATTTTCAGACATTACTATATATATATTTATTTAGATAATTATTTATTTAATTATATATTTATAAAGTGCAATTATGTTAAACTACTCTTTAAGTACTAATTTACCCCCATTTTGTATTATAGTTATGTTCCCAAGTTTCCTCGTGTGAGCTTCCGTTATTCTCTTTGATTTTCATGTTTTTTTTTTTTTTAAATCAATCTTCCACATTTACACGGTAGGCACTTAACGTCAGCACCGTCTTTATCCACTTTGATTTCGTTAGTTCGATTGTCTTGACCCGTTTGTTCTACATAATGATAGTCGCTATAATCGTAATTTTCCATTGCTGTTAGTCTGTCTTGAATCGTTTTAATATTTTCGTCCATTGCTTTACTAATTTCTTTCTGTTCTTCTTGGTGATGTTCTATTAATTCGCTCATCTGTTCTTGCTTTTGTTTCTGGTTTTCTAATGTCTTTTCTATTTTTTTGTCCTTCTTTCTGATCTTGCATTAATTTAACTATTTTATTTTCTTCTTGTATTTGGTCATTAATTTTGCTTTTGACCATTTATATTACTATTTACATTTTTTTTTGAGATATTGAATTCCTAGCTTAATTAATTCTAATGAATAATACCAACATTTTTTCATTTTATTGTCAGTTATTATTACTTGTTCTATATTCTCTACTTCATCTATTATATCAATATAGTCTGACTAAGTCCTATCCATATTAAATAATAAGATAATTTATTTTTTCATTTCTTTCTTTCTTTTCTTATAAAGTTTTTTCATTGTATCGTCTTTATTCCATCTATATTCCACACATTTCTGATGATGGTTTGAATTTAGATGATTAAATAAATATTTGCCATCATAAGTTCTACCACAACTGCAATGGATACTAGTCATATTAAATAATAAGAGAAAATATAATTAATCTTATTATTTAGAATACTCGGGGCTCAGCACTGGGGTTTTCACTGCACACGCAAGCAAGATACAAACTAATTATCTTCATTGCTTATTGATTGAAGCAATGGAACACCTGTTCCATTATGTTATTCACCGCCACTCATAACATAATGATGTTCCATTTAATATTAGTTATAAATAATTTTCTATATATCTTTAATATTATTTTATTATGCCTGATGTAAAACCAATTGATGAAATCGAATATGACTTTAACAAAGTAAGCACGAGGTTGTCCCTAAATTGCCGATGAGAGCTATGATTGTAGGTCCGTCAGATTCTGGAAAGAGCACGCTACCTGTATCAATGATAGTTGATATTTATAGAGGAGCATTTGAAAGAATTTTTATCTGGTCTCCATCAGTAAATTTGAATAGTATTTGGTTGCCTGTGAAGAAATACATTAAAGAAGGTTTGAAAGTAGATACTGATAAAGAACCGTGTTGGTGGGATGAGTTCAATGTTGAAGATTTAGAAAGAGTTATAGAAACTCAAAATAAAATAATTGAATACCAGAAAACAAGGAACGAAGAATTTATTTAATATATTAGTGATATTGGATGATGTATCTGATAATCCAGCAATAACAAGAAATAACAAATTGTTAAATTTTTATTTTGTAGAGGTCGTCATAGTGGTATATCAACACTTGTCAGTCTTCCAAAATCGTCAACCGTGCCAGCAATTATTAGAGTACATATAAGTCATTTGTTTTATTATAAAGTTAGAAACTTCAAAGAAATTGAAATATTGCAAGATGAATTGTCAGCAATTGTTAGAAGCGATAATTTACACGAAAGCAAGAAACTAATTTATAAAATATATGAGACTGCCACTGATGAACCACATAGTTTTTTTTTTTTTTTAGAAAAGAACCCAGATAAAATGTTTATGAAAAAGTTTTCTCAATATTTGAAAATAACTAATTAACAGCATTAAATCTATTTTTAATGTTATTAATTCAAATTAATGAAGCGTTGCATAAATTCAACGCAGGTAATTTATATATTAGTTTGTCCGATTTTTGATTTTCTATTTGTTCAATCCTTGCCACACATTCTTGAATCGATTTTATTATTAAAGTATCCGCTCTTGTTTTTTTCATCTATTCTTAAATTCTTAATGTCTTCCATACTGTTATTTTCTTCGTTTTTACTTTGACCAATACCCATTATATAGTATTATTTAGATTTTTCTTTTTTCACTTCCTTAATTTCTGTTTCCAAATTTTTCAACTTTATCTATTACTTCCAGTAAAGCTTTATGTAGTAATATTGGCACTTTTGTATAGTCAATACCTAAATATTCGCGACTGGTATGAACTACATTACTAATTTCTTTCGGAACTGCGTTTAATAAATCATCAGCAATATAACCTATATGAATTGCATCTTTATCGTCTTTATCTTTTCTTTTGAACTTTTTAGGTTTGAGTTTCTTAATCATACTAATACAATTGCTTTTAAGTAAATCTACATCATATTTTAATCTTGCATCATAATTATCTATTAGACTTCCATTTATGGTCACAGTTCCAGCGGTAATATCAATAGCATTGCCTGAAGCATCTTGAATGTCATTTACAAATAATGTTTTTGTATTAACACCCGTTGCATTTTCATTAAAAGTTGATGAAGCATTATTTGTAAAACTTCCAGTATTTACTGTTGTTCCAAATGTCTTATCAATAGATAATAAAACTGAAGAAGGAGAAGAAGAAGTGGAGCTGTCTGCCACTCTAAACGCAGTGTTGGTTGTTCTGAATATTACATCAATTGTAGGTAAATTAGTTCCAGCGTAATAAGTTGATATTGCACTTGTTCCCATCTTTATATCTGTTCCTGTTGTCATTGAAATATTATTTAAAAATGAAACCGTTGTTAAATCGAATGATTGAATGGTATTAGTTGCTAAATAAGCATTTTGAACTGCTAAATTGGCATCAAGGGTCACTAATGTTCCACCATTAGGCGCTATATGATTACTTCTTAATGCTCCACCAGTTTTAACATAAACATCGTCTGCAAATAAATTACCCATAAAATCAGCAGTAGCAGTATTAAAAGTCCATCCGGTAGAAATATTAACTGCTCCAACTGTATTAGATTGAACAGCTGGGTCTCCACAAATAAATGTAATTGAAGAATTAGCATCAGTATTTCTCATATCAAAAGATGAAAAATACACTAACATATCTGTATAATTCACAATTTGTATCAATTGTTAATTTACCATCAGTATCAATATTCACATTATCACAATTAACAGCAGCATTCGTATAAATATTACCTAACACATCAACAGGTTTATTAAAAACAGTTTTATTAACTATTCCATCACACATCATATATTGATTAGAAGCATTACTACCATCGCCAACACTAATGGCAGCGAAATCATTATGAGACATATATAAACCTTCTATTGCATCGGGCGTGTATCTTCGTATTGAACCATTATTTTTAAAATTCAATTATGAACCATTATTAAGACTTATTGCGCTGTTAGTCCCTATAAACTGAACAGCATCAGTAAATCTTGCTTGGCCAGCACAATTTAAAACATAACCATTATCACCAACTGCGCCTAAACCGAATCTATCTTTTACCCATACGCGCCCAACATTAGCATCTCCGATTTGCGTTTCCCAAACGCCTCCTGAACTACTCATCCACATTCTGCCATCTCTGTTAATACTAAATACACGATTGAACATTTGAAATGTCATTTGCAATCCTAAATTAGGCGAAGGTGTAGTACTAAACTTATTACATATTATACTTCCAGTAGTCAGCATATTTACATTACTGTGTAAAGTAGTATTATCACTAAAATTAATAGCACCTGCTACCGATTGAGCATTAGTATCTATCTTATCTAACTTTTGTCCTAATGATGTATCCTGTGAATTATTGATAGCAATTATTGAATTAATTGTATTTGTATTTCCTGTTATTAATCCACTTAATCCATCTGATTGTAAAACATAACGAGCATCTGAACCTGCTACATCTAAAATAGACGAACAAGAAAATGAACCTGACACTTGTAAATTACTTAATATTGTAGTATTATGATTTAATAGTATTTTATCATTTTGAAAAATCAAATAATTATTAATTTCTACATCTCCAAAGCCTCTTTGGTTCAAAGACATTGTTGAACCTATCAAACTTCCATAAACATAACTATCAAAATAATTATTATACATTTCAAAGAAATTATTATAATTTCCAAATTCTGCTTTTTTGAAAGTTGCAGTAGTTGTTATATTATGTATTAATGTATTATTTAATACTGATGTTGATAATAGATTATTAGTTGTTATTTTATTATAGTAATCTGCTTCATTAAATGAACCTCCATTCTGTAAATCTGATATTGCTATAATATGTGAATTTATTGTGCTATTTAATCCTGTTATTAAATTAGAATTAGAACTAATATTATTGAAATTAGATGTTATAGTAGAATTTAAATTATTTATTAAATGTGTATTTGATGAAACATTATTAACATTTGTATTAATTAAATTAGTATTAGAACTAATATTATTAAAATGTGTTGTTGATGAAGCATTTAAATTATTTATTAAATGTCTATTTGATGAAATATTATTAAAATTTGTATTTGAAGTTATTGTAACATTACCTATTAGAAATGTATTTGACGAAACATTGACTAAACTACTCGCTATAGTGGTTGAATTGTTTTGAATGAAATAAGCATTTGAACTAATATTATTTGATAAGACACTAATTTCTGTGGTATTGTATGTTTCTATTTTTGTGTAAAAAATACTATCAATCTGTGCTTTTGTGTAA